TAAGGGATACCATAACACCAAATGATCAATCAAGCAAAAAGTCAACACAAAAGTCAACACATAAAGTCAATCCAAAAAGTCAACACGAAAAGTCAACTCGAAAAATCAACACAAAGTCAACCAGATCCTACGACACTTGCGTCGATCTAAACACTAAAACACCCCAAACAAGCAATAATCGAACAACCAATCATTTCAATTCGGAATCAAACGCATTATGACACCCCAAATATCCGTAAAAACCATGGTCACACACTCACCTTAGGAAAAACAGTTATAACACGGGTTTCAAATTACAGATTAAACCGAACTCGATGGCTCTGGAAAGATAAGACTCGGAGCTTTCCAATGATACCTAGATCGTCTTCTGGGTCCTTACAAAACGACGGAAAACAGCCCGCAAGTTCGTTGTTCAGAACTGGAAACAGGAAATTCCAGTATCAGAAAATATGAACGACACGTTGACATCTAAAGAACACAGAGAACGGGGATTACATTAGAAACAGGATCGGAAACCTATTCTGAAAACTAGACAAAGAGACCTTTCCAAAGATAGCCGGATTGTCTCCTAAACCCTTCGGGTTCGACGGAAATCCTCCCTCGAAATGGAATTATCGCAGACCCAAAACTGCAGAAACATCTCTTTGTAAAACGACGATAACTCTCGGAATACTAATCCAAATGACAAACCGATTTCGCTCAAAGCTAGATACGAGAGTGGAAAAGTTACCCTAGAAGTTTCGCTCCAATCCGATCTGATATTCTCAGCCGTTCGTCTCCCCTTCTAAAATCGGAAAGAACTGTTTAATTTTTCTCTCAAGAAAGTAATTTGTCTCACAATTCTCTCACTCCACGAATCTCAGCCTCTCTCTCTTATTTCTCCCCCGAAAATGTGACCAAAATACTTCTGATCGTATTTTATACTCAATCCTAGGGTTTCACCTAACCAACCACGCGAACCAGACAATTAAAATTGAACCAAACCGGTTCAATTGAACACATTTCCCCAAAAATTGGTTCGCGGTCGTTACACATCGCCTTAATAGATTTGAATCTGGAGATTGTAAAGTCACCGTTTTATTGCTTAGTCACTCTCTAATGGCGATTGATTATTGAATTGATCTTGGTTCTTCTAATAAATAATATAAT